TCACATGCTGCTTTAATTTGTTCCCACCTGTAGTTATAAAGGGCTCCACTGCTTACCGGCAGCATCTTACATTTAATTGTTCAAATAAAGAAGTCAGCAGCCACTGTATTGGGCTGCACAAACATGGTAAAATATAAAAACACATTTGGCTGGGTGGCGTGGCACATAACAAAATATATCCATCCCCTAGCAGCCTAATGTAGGATGACTTCTGTGAGTGCTGTCCTAGGATACAGTGTGATCTTGCCTCAAAAACTGAAAATGGCAGCAGGCTGGCTCAGCAGCCACCTGGCTGTAAGCTTGAGGGCCTGAGCTCAATCCCTGAACCTCCCCCACAAAACGCCAAATGCAGTGGCCCACACCTGTAATCCCAGCACTCCTGCAGTGTGATGGGAGGCAGAGACAGGAGTCATCTGGAAGCTCACACCAGCCTGGAGTATGCAGACAAGCAGAAATAAGAAACAGCATAACTAAGGTGGAGAAAAAGAACTGCCTCCCCAAAATTGTCCTCTGACCTCCACATATACACCATGATACCCATGTGTGCCAATAATAAAAACTAAATACATATTTGTGTAGATGTGTATGTATGTGTGTATACATGTATGTCTGTGTGTGTGTGTGTATGTGTGTGTATGTATGTATATGTATGTATTAGGAGAGTGTGTATATGAGTGTGTACGTGAGTGTGTGTATTGTTTTGGGCTTTGCCCTTGTTTCCAGCAAAGACTCCAAAAAACATGATTATCTGAGTAAAAGTAAAACCTTTTATTAGTTATGAGAAGCCCCCTTTGGTGTTTATGCCAATAAGGTGACATCTAGATAGTCTCTGGATGGGGATGGTCACAGGAAGGGTCAAGTGATTTGAGCATTGGAACGTTCAACCCCTTCCATTGAACTCCTGCCACAGGGAACGGAGGAGTGAGTGTGGAGGGCACCTCAGAACAACCGTGCAGAGACCTGAGGAGCTCGGGGGCTGCTGAGGAGCAGGTAATGCTGGGCGGATGTTGAGAGTGCACTGACTCCTCACCCCACTCTACTCACACCTGTCCTGTGTCCCTTCCATCGTCTGTTCCTGAACTTCTCATCTCATCAGAAACCAGCAAAAGTAAGAAAACTGTTTTTCTGAGTTCTGTCAATTTGCACTGTGGTGTTTGGGGCGTTTGTTTGTTTGAGACAGAGTTTTGCTGTGTAGCCTTGGCTGGCCTGGAACTCATTATGCAGATCAGGCAAACTCAGAGATCTGTCTGCCTCTGCCTTCTGAGTGGTACCAGGATTAAAAGTGTGCCTGACCATGCTCTGCTCAATAGTTTTTAAAAACAAGGTATCCAGTAGCCCAGGCTGGCCTCCAATTCATTATGTAGACAAGGCTGGCCCAAATTTCTGATTCCCCTGCCTTTATTTCCCATGTGCTGGAATTACAGGTGTACACCACACCTGGTCTACTCTAGCAAATTACCAAGGTTAAGGAGAGGGTCATGGAAACCTTCAAATTAGAACTGACTGGTCGTCTTTAGGGGCACCTGAGGGATGGCAATCTTGTAGGACAGAGCCCTTTAACAATGGGATCTGATATTAATTTGTGGTTGATAATGTCAGAAGTGAACTGAAAGTTGTTGGATATCTTGTTGGGTGTCCAGAGAAATGAAAATCCGGTTTGTGTGAGAAAAACCAATGAGAACAGTTCTTTAACATTACCACCAGCACATAAAGTTCTATTGAGTAACACCAGAGTGTGGTGATATTTTATTTCTGCTGAAATATGGTGATATTTTATTTGTATGTTAATAAATAAAGTTTGCAAAATAAAATAAAATAAATAAATAAAGTTTGCCTGGAGATCAGAGGAAATAGCAAGCCGTTTTAAGTAAACACCAAAGTCAGGCAGTGGTAGCCCATGCCCTTAATCCGATCACTTGGCATGCAGGGTCTCTGTGTGTTCAAGGCCATACTAGGAAACAGAGCCAAGTGTGGTGACACATGCCTTTAATCCCAGAGACCTGGAGGTCTGTACAGACAGGCAGTGACAAGGAAGTGAGGTAGCTGGGCTGAGAGCCAATGAGAGGGCAGAACAGCAAGGCAATAAAAGCCTGGGTAGACAGGAAGTTGTGGCATTTTGGAAGTTACAGAGCTAGTGAGGTAAGGTGGCTGGTGGCCATTCTTATTTCCCTGGTCTCTAAGGCTTTCACCCCTATATTTGGCTCTGTGTTTTTATTTAATAAAACCACTTAGAAATTCGGCTACACCACAGTCAAGGCCAGGGCGGATGGGTCAGTGGGGAAGGTGCTTGGTACCAAGCCTGATGCCCTGTGTTCAAGGCTGGATCCACATGGTAAAAAGAGAGGGCCCCCAGCTATACGCTGACCTCCACACACATGTTACGGCATGTCCCCAAGCCACATCTGCACACAGAGAACAAACAAATGAATGGGAAAAAGACTAGTTTTGATCTAGATACCAAGAAGAGGTCTTCAACTCAACAGTGGTTAAAGAGAAAGTAACTCAAATTAGCATCTCTCTAAACTAAAGCTGTTACATTCAGACCACAGCGACCTCATTGCTCAGTCCTTTCAAGGTGGGACCTAATGCTATCCCACCTTGGAGAAGCTAGACACACTGTAGGGAGTCAATGCTCAAGTCATCCACCAAACCGACAGACACGAGATGCTAGGATTAAAGCTCACAGTTCCCACCTAATTATTTGGCTCCCTGAGCTCTCGCTGTGAATCTGCCACAGCTGTCAGACTGACAGATCCACTTGTAAGCTGTCAGCCACTATCACAGGCATTATCTGACAGGGAACAGACACAAGTGAGGTGAAAACTGACTGCTGAAAGGTAGCAGGCTTTTCATCTCCACAAAGTCCCCAAAGTGTCACATAAGTGCCCACAGGAAATTGGCACTAGCAGCCATGGAGAGTACATTAACAAGAAAATCTGTCTTTAGGCAGAAAGGAGTGTGAATCCTAGAGGGTAGAGTGAGCACCACCTCACAAAGTCCCAGCCAGCATAAAACAAGGAACTTAATTACAGCTGCTGACTGCCAGCTTGAAGACCACTGGTAAGCCACTTAACGCAAAGATGAAATACACAGCACAGTGGTCTCCTCGGCTAACAGCGCAGCTTTATGAGCCACAGATCGACACAGCCTTCTGACAGAAAAAAATATAAAAGACTCCAAAAAGTGAAAAATCCCCCTCCTACGTCTCCCTCTCTGCAAGCCAACTACCCACAGGATGACACTGGGAGGAGTCTGTTCAATAGTCTTCCGAACACACTAGATCCCTTCAAATACAGAGACATGGGTACATGCTCTTCAAAAGGGCGAGGGAGGGGCACGCCACACAAATACTCCACACCTGGTTTGTTTGTTTTTCCAGAGACAGGGTTTCTTTGTGCAGCTTTGTGCCTTTCCTGGAACTCGCTTTGTAGACCATCCTGGCCTCGAACTCACAGAGATCCGCCTGCCTCTGCCTCCCAGTGCTGGGATTAAAGGCATGTGCCACCACCGCCCGGCCACACCTGGTTTTTTAAATTCTTAGTAATTTAGATATCTTCTCATGTCAAAAATTGAGATCTGCCTTATTTCATGTATTTTTTGTGGTTTGATTTTTTGAGACAGGGTCTCTCACTATGTAGCTTTGGGTGGCCTGGAACTCACTCCGATTCCCCTGCCTGTGCTTCCTGAGTGCTACGGTTAAAAGCGTATGCTACCATGTTTGGCTTTTAGTTTTAAGTGGTTTATTTTTATTACTTTTTTTCCGGTTTTTCTTTTCATTTTGTTTTTTTTTCGAGACAGGGTTTCTCTGTGTGGCTTTGTGCCTGTCCTGGATCTCGCTCTGTAGACCAGGCTGGCCTCGAACTCACAGAGATCCGCCTGCCTCTGCCTCCCGAGTGCTGGGATTAAAGCGTGAGCCACCACCACTCAACACTTAATACATGCTTCTCCTAACTTTTATGTCTATGTGGGGGACACTCATGCGGAGGTCAGAGGACAACTTGCAAGAGTCAGCTCTCTCTTTCTACCATGCAGGTTCAGGATATTGAGCTCAAGTCCCCGGCTTGGCACCAGGTGCCTTTACCCACTGAGCCATTTTACTGACCCTGATTTTGGTTCTGTGGCAGGGTCTTGTAGTCCCAGCTGGTCTCACACTCACTGAAATACCCTTGTCATAGACCCCCAGGAATTAAAGGCATGAGCTATGATGTACAGCTTTGATTCATAGAGTCTAAAATTCATTTTTTTGAACCATGTGGTCCAGACTAGCTCCAAGTTCAGTCCTCCTGCCTTAATCTCTCTTGTGTTGTCTGTGGGAACGTGCCACAGTACCTGGTGAGGCTCATTTTCTTTTCCTTATCAGGTGTCTATTCTATTACTCTCCGCTGCATGCTCTGAGTCAGGGTCTCTCACTGAACAGGAAGCTTGCAGTTTAGGTTAGATAGGCTGGCCAGCGAGCTCTCGGGATCCACTGTCTCTGCCCTCCAATGGTGGGGTTACAAGAATGTATGCCATGCCTGGCTTTTTATGTGGGTTCTGGAGATTTGGGCTCAGTTCCTCAGGTTCTTGGTGCCATTTCCTTGGCTCCTTGTTGTTGTTTTGGTTTTAATTTCTTGGGACAGTCTCAGAGACTACGCTGTCTTTGGCTGCCCTTTAACTTCTCGCATCCCTCCTTCCTCCGCTTCCTGGGAGCTGAGATTACAAGCAGGGGCCACTAAATACCGCTAAAATGCTTCTCCAGTCTTTCTTAGGAACAAACATCATTTAGTGCTCAGTTAATGGAGGCTGGTAAGCTTCAGATCAAGGCACACACATAGTGCATATACACACATACTCGCAGGCAAACACTCATGCACAAAAATTCTTTATCCCTATTGCTACACTGAAACTAAAGTAAAATAAGCAACTATCTGAAAATTTTAAGTCTCATAGTGAGAACGTGGTAGGGCCCACAGTAGAATGAGCGCAATGGAAGAGCTGGATTCCCCGTTATGGGCTCCCACCTTGCTTCCGACAGCCTGGGATTTTGATAAAGGCTCCATAGTCTGTCACCATAGCAACCTATAAAGACAAAATAAAAAATCAATGTTGCACAACCAAGAACCAATCTTTCCTTGTCCTATATTCAACAGAGGATCTCAGGTAATGCAGGCTGGCCTCCAGCTCACTGTGTGGGCAAGGCTGAGCAGGAAGTTAAATGGCATTCTTTCCAGAGCCTTTCATGCCTCCACCTCAAGCAATCACTGTTTTGGTTTCATCACAACAAGACAAAAGGACTCAATAAGATGCCCACTTGCTCTGATGTTCACTAACATTTCAGTATTCACTACATACAAACACTTCAAAACACCCTCACGACTGTACAGGGTTGATATTGTCGTTCACATGTGACAGATAATAAGCTGATGCATGGAGAGACTACCCAAGTCCAGAACTCCTGAGTAGCAGCCCTGGAAGCTGAACTCAGTCTAAATCACACAAGAGCTGTTCCTGGATCCTTCTCATGATAAAACTGTAAGGGCTAAAGGCAGTGTGACAGCTGTGATGTCTGACATCCTGGTTTCTCCTGGCATCGACTAGGAGTGTGCATGGGAACATCCCGTGTTGCAGGTGAGACAAGAGAGCGTGGGCTTTGCAGTGGAAGGTGTGGCTTCTAACTCTGCCATTTCCTACCTGTGGCCTAAACTCCATTTGTTTCCATTTGCTGCTCTAGGTAGCAAAAGATAAACATCATGTGCCTGGCACTGGAGTCTAGCACATGTTGTACATTCAACAGTATATCATTTTTGATAACTTATAATTCAAGACCATGAAGTACAGAGAGATTAGGGCTGGTAGAATCAAGCTAGGGGCAGAATTGGGGTCCCTGGAGCAGATTCTCCTCCTTCACCAAACATGAGCATTACTCACTTCAATATTAGATGGTATAAATTTTTTTAGAATTTCATTCCCCTCTTTATTTATCATTGTTTATTTCTTATATTTTTAGTGTTTTGTTTCAATACAGGGTCTTACACTGTAGCTCAGTCTGACCTGAAATTCATGGCAATCCCTGGGCTCAGACTCCCAAGTGCTGAGAATGTATGCACAAGCCACTATAACTGGCTTTCTGCGTGTTGCTGTTGTTTTGAGACATGGTCTCACTGTATAGTTCTGGCTGGCTCGGAACTTATTATGTAGATCAGACTGGCCTTAAGTCAGAGATATGCCTGCCTCTGCTTCCTGAGTGCTGGGATTAAAGACATTCACATTTTAAAAGAACATTTTATTACTTTTATGTGTATGGTATAGATGTTTGTCTGCATGTATGTCTGTGTACCATGTGCTTGCAGAGCCCACAGAGGCCAGAAGCAAGTATTGGATCTTGTAGGACTGGGGTTACAGATGATTGTATGACACCATGTGGGTGCTGGGAATCAAACCTGGGTCTTCTGGAAGAGTGGTTAAGAGTGCTCTTAACCACTGAGCCATCTCTCCAGTCTGATGCATTTTTTAAAAAACACTTACTTAGTGTTATGCATATACACACATGTGCCATAGTATGTGTGTCTGGAAGTCAGAGGACAGCTCACAGAAGCCAGTTTTCTCCTCCCATCAGTTAATTTGAGGGCTCAAACCTAGGTGGTCAGGCTTGGTGGCAAGTGCCATAACCATTGTGTTATCTTGCTGGCCCCTCTCTACTCATTTTTAAATGGGGACATAGAGACAGAATGCCTGAACTAATTCTCTAAGACACACCATGAAGGAATGGTTATAAACCTCAAGTTCTGTACTCCTGAGGTATACAGACGAACAAGCTATGAGAAAGTAGGATAAAAAAGTTCTAAAACAAAACCAAAAACAAACAAGCAAACAAAAAATAGTACAATTATCAGATCATGACAAGGTGGAGCCAGAAGGGCTTTAAGAAAGATATTTAAGGGGCTGGAGAGATGGCCCAGTGTTTAAGAGCAGCTGTTGTCCCCAGCACCCACACAGTGGATGACAACCATCTGTAACTCCAGTTCCTGGAGATCCAGTGCCTCTTCAGGCCTCCAATGGCACTGCATGCCTGTGGTACTTACACATGCAAACAAAACTCTCTCACACATAAAATAAATATAAATATTTTTAAAAAGGATGATTTTAGATATTAGCTGGTCCATCCAGGCACAGTGGTGCACACCTGCAAATCTAACATGAGGATATGGGGAAAGGAGAACTAGGTATGAAGCAGGAAGATTGCCATGAGTCCCAGTGTATGGGCAGAGTGAAATTCTATCTCAAAAACAAAACAATGAAGACATTAGCTGGTCCAATCCTGTCATTTTTCAAATGAGAAGAGTGAGGACCAGAGATAAAAAGTAATTAACCAAGTTCACAAAACAACTTGTTCTATGTGAAAATGGTCCCCAATGAAGAAGTAGTTCCCTTTTTAAAAAAATAATTTACATTCACTTATTTTAGAAATGAGTGTTTCACCTGATGTATATGCCTGGTGCCCAGACAAGTCAAAGAAGGACACTGGATCACCTGGAACTGGAGTTACAGATGACTATGTGCCACCATGTAGGTACCAGAAAGAAAAAAAAAAAAAACAAAAACCTGTGACCTCTGTAAGAGCAGCAAGTGTTCTTAACCGCTGGGCCATCTTTCCAGCCCCAAGACTTTCTATTTTTAATAAAAATAAAAGCAAATGTTTTCCTTCTGACTCACCGAAAGCACTCTGATTGACATTTGCTCTAGGATTCCAAAGAACAGGTTAAGCAGTCTCACACTGTATGACATTATTAAGAAGCACAGTTATCTGAAAAACTTAACAACAGCATCTGGAAGTTAGAGCCCAAACCACCTTGCTGCTGTAAATTAAAGCAAAATAACTTCTCAGTCCTGAAGCTCCTGGGTCACATTATCGTCTTTAGAGGTAATAACAGACCTTAATTTTGCCTCTCCCAAAAGGAAAGGGTAATGTGCTTCAGAATAGATGCATTCGACTCTCCAGTAAGGAAAAGGCATTCCAGCACCAGGTGTTTCCATTCCTGTCTCCTAGGTGCACTCAGAGTTGAAATGAACAGGATGGCACCTGCCATAGATGAGCATACAGTCTTCCTGGGGTCTCAAGAATAGTCACTCAAATGACTCAGGAGGTAGAAGGGGAAAATTCAGTAATTATCTCAACTGAAACTCAGGCCTTGGGTAAAATTAATTTCCATCTTTGGATAGGAGCCTCTATTGGCCTTGAAACTTGTTCTCTTCATAATGTAAATGATGAGCCTGAGGCTCAGAGTTCCTGGTCCAAAGTTAGAGGGTAGCACATCCAGGCACAGAACAGACATTTCTAAACTTTGCTCCGGTGATATTCCCACCTCGCCAACACTAATTCCTTGCAAGCATGTCTTTGTCTGTGGCAAGTCTAAGACAAACCCTAGCTCCCACTGCTATCCTCACACCCCACCATGTTTAATAGATGCTGGCAGTGAGATCTCAGAGGACGAGAAGCAGTGGATACTGGCTTCTCATCTATTCAGTCTGCACACTGCTACCATCCCTGCTCAGCCCATAAAGAGATGCATCCTAGTTTCTTCAAGGACAACCCGTCCTACCAGCTGGAGGCACAGTCATATTCCAATATTTATACAGCAGCCATGTATGCTAGGTACCAAGCCAGAGTATGAAATAAAAAAGCTTTTAAAATATAGATGCCTAACCTGTTTTTAAAAGAATATGGGTTGCCAAGATAAATCACTACAAGCAGTTAGTGAAGTAAAACTATTAATGTGATAAATGTTATAACAGAAGCAAACACCCTGATCTACCATCTACCTACCGCTGCACTCACTTAAAACAATCTCTCATGCAGCTTCCGGTTCCTCCATATGTTTCAGTGCAATTGTAAAACCCCAGCTAGAACTCGGCAGAGAGCAGACTTAGATTTAGGACTGCAGCTTCATCGTTCATTAATCAATGGGTGGTTACTTAGCTTCTGAGAAGAGTCTACTTAGTCTCTAAAAGGAGTTAGTTTTACGGAGATATTCATAACACAGACGTGTGTGTGTGTGTGTGTGTGTGTGTGTGTGTGTGTGTGTGTGTGTGTATGCATGCATGCGCTCACTAACACACTTCAAGAGTTCGATCCTTTTTTTTTTAATTTGTTTGTTTGCTTACTTATTTGTTTTTAGATAGGGTCTGACTGTGTAACTCTAGCTGGTCTAGAGCTTACTACGTACACCAGACTGGCCTTGAAATCAGAGTTGAGGCTGCCTCTACCTCCCAAATGCTGGATGAAAGGTTGAGACACTACACCTGGCCATTGTTTTCAATCTTAATGTAACTGGTTCTCCATGTAAATATTAGCTGATAAACTCACTCTGTAGACAGGTTGACCTCAAACTCAGAGATCCACCTGCTCCTGCCTCCCTGGGATTAAAGGTGTGCACTACCACGCCTGGCTTGTTTTCTCTTTTAATTGGTTTGTTCAAGACAGACTCTTACTTTGTAGCCCAGACTGGCTTGAACAGGATTGGATTCCCTTGCCTGCACTTCTCAAGGGCCAGGATTACAGGCCTGCATAAGTTTGTCTGGATAACATACATGTCCTCTTATGGCACGTGTTGCTGAAAAAGCAATCAGAACTATGATGTTCTTCAGCACTCTGGAGGAAAGGGAAAGGAATCGAAAGTTCACAAGTCCCAAGCTGGCCCAGGTTCCACAGTGATGTCTAGACTGTCTAGTCTATTGTCAACACAGCACAAGCTGCAGTTCTTTGGGAAGAAAATGCCCCCACCAGACTGGCCTATGGGGCATTTTGGGCAGGTGGTCCTGAGTTGTTTAAGAGAGCAGGTGAAGCAAGGCATGGGAAGCAAGGCAAAAGCAGTGTCTTTCCCTGCCTCTGCTTCAGTTCCTATTTCCAGGCTCCTACCTTGAGTTTCTGTCCTGACTTCTCTTATGGACTGTAATGTGGAAGGTAAGTAAAAGAAACTCTTTCCTCCCCAGGTTGCTTTTGGTCATGGTGTTTATCAAAGCAACAGAAATCCTACGAGACAGAGACCAACCTAGGATACCTAGTGAAGACCCTGTCTCAAAAACAAACAAACAAACAAACAAACAAACAAACAAACAAAAAGAGGTTAGGTGTGATGAAGACAAACGCCTTTAATCCCGGCACCCAGGAGACACAGACAGGTGGATCTCTGTGAATTTGAGGCCAGCCTGGTCTACGGAGTGAGTTCTAGGCTAGCCAGGACTACAAAGTGAGACCCTGCCTTAAAAAAAATTATTTTTTTGAAAAGCTGTGAAGTTCTCTCTTCCCTCAGACCATCCTTAATGGCAACACATAAAAAACACATATTAGGCCAAGTGTAGTAATTCATGCTTGTAATTCCAACATGTGGAAGGCTGATAAGGAGGACTGCTGTGAGTTGAGGCCAAGGCTTGACTACAAAGTAAGTTTGGGACCAGTTTAGGCTACACAGTAAGACCTTGTCTCAAAATCTCAAAATTAACCAAAATCAGGGCTGGCAAACGGCTTAGCAGGGACAGTGCTTGCCACCAACCCTAACCACTTTAGCTGAACTCCTAATCCCCCTGCCTCCGTCTCCTCAGGGCTAAGATTACAGGGTTGCACCACCACTGTTTTTGTGGTGCTGGGGACAGAACTCAAGGGCCTCCTGAATCCTGGGCAAGTGTTCTACCAACTCAGCCACATTCCTAGCTATGATCTGTTTTTGATATCTTATTTTGGGTGCAATGCATGAACAGATTGGAGAGAGGCTGCAACAGAAGCGGCAAATTCCAGTCAGAGCCAAGCAAGAGATGAAGAGCCTGGACTAAGGGGTGGCAAAGGCATAAATAAGCATGTAGACTAGAGATATAATTAGGACTCCTGGAAGAACTAAAGAGGGAAACTCAAGACCAAGTCAAAGGATGAAATCAAGTATAAGACCAGATTCCTAGCTTTGGCACCAAATGGGTAACAATTCCATCTGCTAAACTGGAAAAAGACTGGTTAAAAAACCTCTTTTGGCAGGGTGGGGGTGGGGGTGGGGGGGGGAGTTTAAAATCTAAGTTAGAGATGCTTTCAAGCACTGATGAAGGTGTCAAGCACACAGAAGTCTTTAAGGTATAGTGTACCATGGGGCCCAGCGGCCTTCCCATTCGAGAGTTTCATGTGGACAGGAGAATAACCCCAGATGCTTTCCTCCCTCAGGAGGAAAATGTTCTTAATACACTCTACAAGAGAAGTTTCAGGGTGCACAACATACCTCTCCTTGAAAAATAGTATAGAGTGCAGGCAAGTTTTCCATGGTCTCAGGCCTTCCTGAATTCATCCTTAATAGACTATGGCTCCTCCATCTCTCTTCTGCTAAAGCTAATTCAAATGTCCTTTCAGAAAGAAACAACAATTAGAGCGACATCTGTATGCAGAAGAAACACGGGGCTGGGGACATGGCCCGGTTATTACAGAGCCTGCTGCAGAAGCACGAGGACCCGAGTTCAGATCCCCACAAAGCCAGGCGCAGAGGCACACGTCTGCAACCCTGGGGTAGGGACAGAGAGATCCCAAGAGATCACTGACCAGATAGCCTGGCCAAACGGATGAGCTCTAGGTTCAATGGGTGTGGTGGCTTGAATACAAAAGGCCCCACAGGCTCAGGGAGTGGCAGTAAGGAGGTGTGGCCTTGTCGGAGGAAGTGTGTCACTGGGGGATTGGGCTTTGAGGCTTCAGAAGCTCAAGCCCGGGCTCAGGGCTCGCTGTCTCTCCTGCTGCCTGCACATCCGGATGTAGAATTCTAAGCCAGGCAATACTGCCTGCCTTTAATCCCAGCACTCAGGAGCCAGAGCCAGGCGGATCTCTGTGAGTTCCAGGCCAGCCTGGTCTACAGAGCAAGATAGGATAGGCACCAAAACTACACAGAGAAACCCTGTCTCGAAAAATTTAAAAAAAGGAAGAAAAAAAAAAAAGATGTAGAACTCTCAGCTCCTACTCCAGCACCATGTCTGCCTGCATGCTGCCATGCTTTCCACCATGATGACAATGGGCTAAGCCTCTGAACTGTAAGCCAGCCCCAGTTAAATGTTTTCCTTTATAAGAGCTGCCATGGTCACAGTGTCTCTTCACAGCAAAAGAAACCCAAACTAAGATAGTGGGTGACTGTGTCTCAAAAGGTAAAGAGCCCAGAAATGGTGGTGAACACCTTTTTTCTTTTTCTTTTTTAATTTTATTTTTTACTTTTTGGTTTTTCCAGATAGGGTTTCTCTGTGTAGTTTTGGTGCCTGTCCTGGATCTCACTCTGTAGACCAGGCTGGCTTTGAACTCACTGAGATCTGCCTGGCTCTGCCTCCCGAGTGCTGGGATTAAAGTCGTGAGCCACCATACCTTTAATCCCAGCACTTGGAGGCAGAGCCAGGCGGATCTCTGTGAGCTTGAGGCCAGCCTGGTCTACATAAATGAGTTCCACGATAGCCAAAGATACATAGTGAGACCCAGTCTCTTTTTTTTTTTTGGATCTGAGGATCAAACCCAGGGCCTTGAGCTTGCTAGGCAAGCACTCTACCACTGAGCTAAATCCCCAACGCCGAGACCCAGTCTCAAACAAAAACAACAAGGTAAGGTAAAGAGTGATCAAAGAGGACAACTAAATTGACCTTTGGCCTCTACACACATTCCCACACATCATGCACACTCACATACACCTTCATGTGAACACACACACACACACACACACACACACACACACACACACACACACACGGAATAATGAATGGGGCTGTATATGGAGCTCAGCGGAAGAGATGTTCCGTAACATACAGCATGAGACCGTAAGTTCATCCCCAGAAACACCAAGAAAGAGATGTGCAGACAGTCCATGTATAGTCTCCAAAAAGTAATACCATTAGAACACACCATGTACTGTCCTGTCATCCATATCTCAGCATTCTAATTGTGGGCACTTGGGAACCTGCATGTCCCTTCTTTCTGATTTGTTACTTATCCAAAGTCATTAGGTACTGGAATTTCAGTTTAAGTAGAGGTTTTGTTTGTTTGATTAGTTGGTTAGCTTTTCTGGGATGTTGTCTTTGCTTTAATGTTAAGTTTATTTGTATCTATTTGTGTATGTGGTGTATGGGCATGCCTATATATTGGTATGTATACCTACATGTGTTCAGGGAGGCCAGAGATGTCAGGTTCCTGTTCTGTCGCTCTCCATCTTACTCCCTTGAGACAGGGTCTCTCACTGAACCTGGAACTAGGCTGGCAGTCAGTAAGCCCCAGTAAAAAAACCCTGTTTCCGCCCCTATAGCACTGGGTTTATACAGACAAGTAACATGGCTGGCTTTTCTGTGAGCTCTAGGATTTTGAACACAGGCCCTCATATTTGAACAGAAAGTACCCTTACCTGCTGAACCATCTTCCTAGTCCAGCTTTTGGTTTTTGAGACAAAGAGTTTTCCTATGTAGCTCAAGTTGTCCTTGAACTTGTGCATCTGCCTCATTGGTGCTGGAATTACAGGCATGTACTACCATGCTTGGTTTTGTTCAGGGTAGTTTGTTTGCTTGTTTATGATATTAGATATCAGATCTGGAACCCTGCATATGCTAAGCAAGACTTGACCACTGAAGTGCATCCCCCACCACCGTTTTGAAATGTGATCTCACTCCATTGCCCAGACTACTTCTAGACTCCTGCTGCACTCCTATGATGGAGCAGTCTCCCCACCTTAACCTCCCAAATAACTACTACAGAGATGGGCCATCACACCTGGGTGGTTTCATTCTTTGTATCACTACTGCTGTTACTTGTTTGTCAGGGAAAGACTTCTGGAAGAAAGAGTACATGTGCCTAGACCTGAAAAACAAGAAACGTCTCAGGCCAGTGTGGTAAGGGATGTTTTTAATCGCAGCATTTGGGAGGCAGAGGTAGATCTCTGAGTTTGAGGTCAGCCTGGTCTATAGTAAGCCCTAAGCCAGTCAAGGTTATACAGTGAGACCCTGTCTCAAAAATGAGAGGTTTTTAATTCCAGCACTTGGGAGGCAGAGGCAGGCAGCTCTCTGAATTTGAGGCCAGCCTGGCCTACATAGTGAGCTCCAAGCCAATCAAGGTCATACAGTAAAAAAGGAAAACTCATCTCTTTTTTATTTTATGTATGTGTGTGCAGATGCCACAAAAACTAGAAGAGAGCATCAGATCTCCTGGAACTGGAGTTAAAATTGGTTGTGAACCACCCAATGTGGATGCCAGGAACTGAACCCTGATCCTCTGAAAGAGCAACAAGAGTTCTTAACGGCTAAACTGTTTCTCCAGCCTCTCTATGTGCTTTTAATTTAAAATATACACCTTTGGGAGCTGGTGAGATGGCTCAGTCATAAAATGCTTGCCATGCAATTATGAAAACCTGAGTTCCGTCCCCAGCACCCAAGTAAAGAAGCTGGGCACAAATGTGCAGGCTTGTAGTCCCAGCACCCCAGAGGCAGAGACAGGAGGGTCCCTAGGGCACGGCAGCCAGCAAATCTAGTGGAATCAGTGAGTAGCAAGTTTAGCGAGAAATATTGTCTCAATAAAGTAGAGGGCAATTTAAAAAGACCGCCGATGTCAATCTCTCATCTCCATACATACATATGCATGCACACCTGCACATAAGAGCATAGACACACAAATAGAAATACACAGGATGGAGGTTAATCCATCCATTCTTGAGAAATGCCTCATAAACAAGTTATTTTTAAGTTTATAGTCTGACTGAATCCCGCCTCTCTTATTTCCCAGCTATGTGGTCTCATCCCCAGACTTTCCCTTCTTCTTGTCCAGCATCCCTTGCCTCACATGCCAGGACAGGTGTTATTAATTTGAACTCTATGGTTCTATTAAGAGACCTTCATTAATCCCTACACTTGAAAAGCTAATTAGTGGAGTATAGAATCTGTAATAGCACTGGGACAGCTAAAATGAGGACAGACATTGTAGTTCCTCTTAATTCTTAGTTCCTTTCCACACAAAGCCATGGAAAGAGCGATAGATGAGGAACTAGATCTAAGTTGTTTCTTGCAAAATTAGGCTGTGAGAGTGTGAGGAGGGCTGGAGAGAGTGTGAGGAGGGCTGGAGAGTGTGAGGAGGGCTGGAGAGTGTGAGGAGGGCTGGAGAG